GCTTGTGCCTGACAGTGCATTAACTAAAATTACCGTATCACATAACCGCAGTATCGGCAGAGCAGCATCGAGTGATGCTGCAGCAGCACAGGCTCTTGGCAGCAACTTAGCCCAACTGCTTCCTGGTCATCCTTTTACCTTGCTTAGAATACTTCAAGGAACACTTCACCTCCTCTTCAAATTTCTGCTTAGAGTGTTCAAACAGAGATTGGGATGGAAGGTCAAGCTTCACTTTGAACCCGGTACAGAGAGAGATGTAACACATAAAGTTGTCTACAAAGCTGCTTTTTTTTTTTTTTTCCTTCAGGATAGCATTTTAAAATGATTCAGATAACATGAGTCACAGGAACAAGCATGGGCTGGATCTCTTTAGTTGGGGAAAAAAAAAGTGCCATAAGAATATGCTATAGACTTCACTGCCTTGTCCTGGATTCTATTTTGGAGAACTGATGACATTTGGGATTCAACCATATGTCTGGTTGAGTCTATAGCACATAGAGATCTGGTAGGTATTGGGAGATGCAGCACATACAGATCTGGTAGGAACTGGGAGATGAAGCACATAGAGATCTGGTAGGAATTGGGAGATGAAACACATCCAGACCTGGTAAGTAGTCAGGGATGTAGAACATCCAGATCAGGTAGGAATTGGTTGATGCAGCAATAGAGATCTGGTAAGAATGGGGAGATGGAGCACATTCAGATCTGGTAGGTGGTCAGGGATGTAGGACATCCAGATCTGGTAGGAACTGAGAGATGCAAGACACAGAGATCTGGTAGGAATTGGGAGATGCAAGACACAGAGATCTGGTAGGAACTGGGAGATGCAAGACACAGAGATCTGGTAGGAATTGGGAGATGCAAGACACAGAGATCTGGTAGGAACTGGGAGATGCAAGACACAGAGATCTGGTAGGAATTGAGAGATGCAAGACACAGAGATCTCGTAGGAGGAATTCAGGGATGTAGAACATCCAGATCTGGTAGGTGCCTCTGCACCATGTTGCTCTGGAAGGGAATGCAGGGCTATTCCCAGCTGTTCTCCAAACTGTGGGTGCTAAATCCTTTGAAGTGAACTTTCCAGAACACAAAACCTTTGCAGCTTATTTGCACTGGGCTGAAAGAGGCCTAAAGGAACAACTTTGGAGTTCTCCTTGTCAAAGGGGGCTTAATCACTGATGGTGATTTAACACAAGAAACAAAGCAACCCTAAGTGTGGTCACCAAAGAGGCAGCCCAGGCCAACAGCAGATTCCTGCAGCCCCAGGAAGAGTGGTGAACAAGCAATACTCCAAAGTAGTGCTAAAAAGAGCTAGAGAAGCATTCTGCTCCTGCTCTACAGCCTCTACGGTCACTTGAGGTTTTTGTTTTGCTTTGCTGTCATCTTCTTGTAATTTAGAACATGCTACTTGCAGTATTCTGCCACATGCAGAGGAATAAATCTGTCTTAGCAGTGATTTAAGCAGCCACATTGATCTCTGCCCACGGTCAATACATGTAATAATGTCAGAGCCTCTCACACAGTCTCCAAGGGCTCAGCTTCTGTCTAGAATTTGTTGTCATCCTGCTTTGTGCCTGAGGGATAAACCTAAATCTCTTGTGTTTAGTGGGTGAGAAGAAGCCTGCTGTGAACAGTTTCTGAGTGAGGAGATGGGGCTGGAGCCTGGTGGAGTCACTGTCTTGGGGGGGGATATTTTTAGAGTCAGAACTCCCTCAGAGCAACAGAACACTGTGGTATTGCTATCCCTACCTTCAACCAAACAGATTTGGTACCTACAGCAGATGTAGCTCAGCAGGACTGAGGTTACCCTGCTCTCTGCTTGATGGGACAACATTTCTCTAAGAAAAGGTCTTGTGTAAGGAAGAATCCATAACAAAAACAAACTCATACCTCAAGTTTCCTTTAGGGGTCAAGGAACCCTTTCCCTCCCCATCTTTCTCTGGCTTTTCCAAGGGGAAGAGTTATAGGATAGTACAGACCTGGTAGATGCTATGGAAACTTCCTCCTGTGGCTCTTCAGGTGCTCTGCAGCTCTACAGTCACCTGCTGCCTCAGGTCTGGGGAGAAAGCCTTAGTTTGGGAAGTGTCTCCATAAGACAATTCCCAGATGGAGCAGGGAATTATCTTATTGACAATTTGTTGCTCTTCCTTTTTGAAAGCTAAGCCAAATGTGTTATGAGAACCACCTGTCCCAAGCAGGAGGGTAGGCAGCATCTCAGGTCAGCTGAGTGCTCAAGCCTGGGCCCTCACTTAAAGCTCTCTTGGTGCCAGAAGGACGAATCTCACAGCAGAGACAATCCAACACCTTGTTTGCATGAAGATTCCTACACTGTTGTTGACAAAACCCCAAAGATTTCCAAAGGATTTTCCCCAAATTGTGTCTTGTCTTTTGGGGATTAGCTGCTTCCAGTGCTCTGGGGGTTTGTTGGGATCAGTGAAATCTGTTTATGCTCACGAGGGAGCAAAGCAAGGATCACAGCCCCAGACAGAACACCTGAGAGGATCAAAGGATGAGCAGAGGGAAAGAAATGTGTCGGTGTCCTATGGCACAGTTACCTTCTTTCAGGGGTAGGTCTGGAAGCAGCAAGCCTGGTGGAAATGGACTCTGCTTCACAGCAGACTTGAAGAAATTACTTGTGGTTGCTCAGACCACCTCCTGAGTGGAAAGAGCCAAAGGAGCATCTGTTTCTACCTGCTGAGAAGCAGCTCTGAACGTGGCATTCTCCTGGCAATCCATAGGAAAGCATGAAGTAGACTGAAAGTTGCTCAGGGCAGACCTTATCCCCCTCTCCAACTCCCTGACAGGAGGTTGGAGTCAGGTGGGGGTTGGTCTCTTCTCCCAGGCAACCAGCAGCAGGACAAGAGGGCACAGACTCAAGCTCTGCCAGGGGAGGGTTAGGTTGGATATTAGGAAGAGATTTTTTACAGAGAGAGTGCTCAGGCATTGGAATGTGCTGCCCAGGGAGGTGGTGGATTCACCATCCCTGGAGGTTTTCAAGCTGAGGCTGGATGTCGCACTTAGTGCCATGGTCTAGTGACCACGGTAGGGTTGGACTGGATGATCTTTGAGCTCTCTTCCAACCAGGTTGATTCTATGATTCTGTGAAAGCCAAGTGCTCCCTGCACTGCCTTGTACTCATTCCAGCTCTGATACACAAGACTTCTCCCAAATATCTACATTAAAATCCAGATCACAGCCCAGAGCACTGTCATCTTAGTTCAGTATTGGATTTCTCCCAGCTGTTGTGTGACTGTCTCCAGTGCAGGAGGGAAAGGGTGGAAAGGTCCTGCTAAGAGCAGTTTTGGCTGAGCCAACTATTAGTTTGCATCAGCCAGTGGCTTTTGTGTGAGTAACAATGATTTTGTACACAAAAGCTGCTTCTAAACCTTGCCAAACTTCAGCTCTCCCTGGTGGTCTTTGGGCTATCAGCACCAGGAGCTGAGGCTCCGAGGAAAGAGTTTAACAAACAGTGAGGGACAGGAATCAGCAGGGAACAGTTCAAAATTGCTGGAGGGATCTTAGGTGATGAAGGTCCTTAAGATTTCAGTGGGAGTGACTTTGCAGCTCTTGGGTGTTTCTCAGACTGCTGCATTGCTTTCTTATGCTCCCTGAGCTACTCCACCAGAGCAATATTGCCCCTGCACTGTGTCAGTCTCTGCCCAAAAGCTTTCCACCCTGACAGCCAGCACAGGAATTTCCAGCTGTGTCATGGCACTGAAGATCCTTTTTCTTTCTCCACATCTCCCTTCAGCTGCTTTTCCTGCTTTCTATTCGTGTTATGATTTTTCACTCTAAGACAGTGTTAACCTTTAGCTACATCTCATGTCACTGAGGCTCTTGTTTGCATCATCTTTAACCTGCTGTTTAATCAATGCCCAGTGAGGTCCTGAGCATCCTCCCTTAGGCTGATCCACAAACTTCTGATGGGATTTGTCTCAGAATCACAGAATATCTGTAGGTTGGAAGGGACCATAGAGTCCAAATTTTTATCAGAGCAAAGCTGCATATGAGGCCATAGCATATCCCTGTAGCTGATTATTTTGGCAGTGATGATGGTTTGTGTCCTCCTCCTGTAAGACAGAGCTTTGGAGGAGCCTCTGAGAGGCTTTGCAACAACCAGAACAGCCAGTTCCAAAATATCCTCTCTGATAAAGGCATGGCTTACCTGTCTGGTTCACTTCCTTCCTCCTCTGCTGTGCCAGGAACTCCTTGCTTGTCTCCTTCTCCCTCTGGAGAGTTGGTGGTGAGTTGGGTATCCAGGAGAACATGAGTGTTGTTGGTACCTGCTCCAGTGGAATGCACAGCAGAAGAGACACAGGAGGCAGATTTTTCCCAAATAAAATAATATGCACAAGAGGGGAAATGTCTGGATTAATTGGAAACATTCTGGTGCTCAGGGCAAGAAGGGCACATGATGGAAGGATGGTGGTGTAAGGATGCCTCACATTGCTGTGTGGTTGAGCTTTTGCCCCAGTGTGGGTCTTGGCTGGGGTTGTACCCAAAGAGCTGAAACTCCTGTTATCTCCTGAATCACAGTCCTCTCATGATTTACTACCTCACATTTTACCTTACCATGCTGAGTCTTAAAATCTTTGCAGATGGAATCAGCATATGTTAGAGGCCAGGCCTGGCAAATCATATCTTCCAGGAGCTGACTGGAGCTCCTGAGGTTGGTTTGCTTCCTGACCATCCAATTAATTTGCAAACTAAGACTTCCCCTCCTGCATCATCAGAGTTCCTTTCCCCCCCAAATAAGCATAGGGCACAGGGAAAGGGCTCCTGCTGGCACTGCTTTTGTGCCATTATGTTAATCCTCCTCTTTAATTGCTACTTCTAACAATTCTATTTTTCCTGTATTTACACCACACAGCTCCTAAATAAACTCAGTCCTGCTGGAGCAGCGTTAGGAGCCAGGAAGAGGTTTTATCTGGGGAAGTCAGTCCTTGGAGCTGGACTGAGATGATTTCTCAGCAGGCAGCGTGTTTCTAGCTGGGTGACTTATGAGCTGTGCTATTTCTTATTACCTTCTGTTTGTTTTTCCAGGCTGCAGACTCTTGGCTGTGGAACTGACATCCAGCAACACCAAGCCCGTGGTGCAGGAATTCCAGAGTGAGTGTTGTGGGGCTTGCTGTGCTGCCTGGGGATCCACATCGGGGCAAACAACTGAGAGAAACTTTACTTATTGGTGTCTGGTTTCTTGGGAGAGGCCTAGGAATCAGAGAAGTGCCTAAGAATCTGTCTGTAGCTTTGATTGAAATGGTTTCTTGAAGTCCCCTGCAAGCCATTGGCATTGCCAAGTGTCTGCCTAAGTGCGTTTTTGAACTGAGTCCCAAAAGATGGAAAAAGCAGTTGCCTTGCAATTAATATACTGAAATGAGAGCTGGGAAATGTATATTTCATCTTGGCCTTCCTACAGACGTGCACAGGGACACTGGGAAGCCTCTTCTCAGCCCTGCTGTTCTGAAGAGGAGAGGAGATGCTGGTGCCAGTTTCAAAGGGGAGAGAGTTTTGCTGGATTTATCCCCAGGGATCACAGTCTCAATCCATCACCAGACACTGCCCAGGGAGATTCTGCATCCCTGACTCACATCGTTGCTCTGATCAGCAGCAAGACAAGTGCTGTGGGCTCACCCTGTCATGAGGTCTTGTTTGCCATAAGTCACAGCCTGCAGAGAACAGTGTGTTCATTTCTCTCCATAGTTGATATCTGTTTGACTATTATTTTTGCTGGCCAAAATCCATCTTCCCCAACAGCTCCTGGAACCCAGCAGTGTTTCTGTTCGTGAGGCAGATGAAAGAGAAGGCTCTGCTTTGTGGGCAACAGCTCCTAATAAAACACTGAGCAAGGCTGCTAAAAGCAGAGCAAAAATACAGCTGCTTCCTATTAATCTGTATTCCCTTTGTTTCTCTTGCTAGGTGTTGAGCTGTCCTGCATCATTAAATCCACTGTCACACCAGATCCCAGAATTGAGTGGAAGAAAATCCGAGATGGAGAAACCTCTTACGTGTTTTTTGACAACAAAATGCAGGGTATGAAGATTCTTTGTTCTTAGGCTTCCAAAACAGCCTCAGAGACAATACAATGGGGAACAAATAAGTCTGTAAAAGGTATGAGCTCTGGCTGTCTTGCTGCTTTCTTCTGGAACAGAGTTCAGGAGTTGAAGTGCAGGATGGAGAGAGAGCAGGATGTTCTTTGCTCCCTGCCCTCATTATTGACAGGTCACAGTAGGGAGCCACAGAGAGCTGGAGTGAGGTCCTGGGTAGAAGATACTTCTTGGGTAAGAAAGAAATGCTACAGCTTCCCTTGTGCAGAGCCTGTTGGGCCTTGTGTGGTCACCGTGTGCCTGAGCTCCCAGGACCAGGCACTGGCCCCTCCTGTCTGACATCCCAGGGCTCTACCTGCACTTCAGAAGGGATGTGTGTGTTGAGCAGTCAGTGCTCACTGCTGAGGCAGCACAGAGCTTTGCAGCATCCTGGGAGCACGAGATTTAAAGCAGTCTCTTTGGCTTGATGGTGAAATTCAAATGGAGACTGCCAGTAGGGCTCAAATCCATCTGGATTTACTCTATCACTTTAGATAAGACCAGGAGCCACATCCAGATGAAATCTTCCAAAGGAGACAAGGCCTGAGGCTGTCTTGAAAGTTTGATTTTGCCACAATTTTTGAGATTTGGAGTTGTTTTTCTAGTTCATCATCTTCCATGGTTAGCTGCATTGGCTTCCTTTGGGGCTTTCAAGCACCAAGTGCTATGAGGAGAGACTAAGGGAGTTAGGATTGTTTAGCCTGGAGAAGAGGAGGCTCAGGGGAGACCTTATCATCCTCTGCAACTCCCTGACAGGAGGTTGGAGTCAGGTGGGGGTTGGTCTCTTCTCCCAGGCAACCAGCAGCAGGACAAGAGGGCACAGACTCAAGCTCTGCCAGGGGAGGGTTAGGTTGGATATTAGGAAGAGATTTTTTACAGAGAGAGTGCTCAGGCATTGGAATGTGCTGCCCAGGGAGGTGGTGGATTCACCATCCCTGGAGGTTTTCAAGCTGAGACTGGATGTGGCACTTAGTGCCATGGTCTGGTGACCACAGTAGGGTTGGACTGGATGATCTTTGAGGTCTCTTCCAACGAGGTTGATTCTATGATTCTATTCCTTTTAGGTGGTTCCTTGACTCCAAAAAGAGTCCATGACCACCTAATTTATACACCCAAAATGAGTCTGGTGACTGTCCTGATTTTTTTCCTCTGTCTCAGGAGACTTTGTGACCCGGGCAGAGATTCTGAGCCGAACATCCCTGGTGATCAAGAACACCACGCGGATGGACACGGCCACGTACCGCTGCGAAGTGGCAGCACCCTCTGATACCAAAACCATCGATGAGATAAACATCCAGCTCACAGTCCAAGGTATTGCACTATCCCTGCCCAGGGAGGTGGTGGAGTCACCATCCCTGGAGGTGTTTAAGAGATGTTTGGATCTGGTGCTGGAGGATATGGTTTAAGGGTTCCAGCAGTGACAGGTTCATGGTTGGACTTGATGATCTTTGAGGTCTCTGCCAGCCTTGTTGATTGTATGATGACACCTCTGCAAGCACTGCTGTAGGTAACACAAGGGGCTGTGGGTCTCTCCAAACAGTGTCACTCTGGTAGATGATTAAAACCAGCTCTAAACAATGGCAAGTTGGATGTTTTTGCCTGAGTTACCTTAGAAAGCATTTCAGCAATGATTTAGTTGTACTTAGCTAGTTTGTGTCTTCCCACAGTGAAACCCATGACTCCCAGATGCATTGTGCCTAAAGCTGTACCTGTTGGCAAGTCAGCCTCTCTTCACTGCCATGAGAATGAAGGTTTCCCAAAGTCTACTTACAGCTGGTACCGCAACAGCGAACCCTTATCGCCCGACACGAGATCCAATGCCAAACCCCACAACTCCTCCTACACCCTGAACCCCACCACGGGCACTCTGGTAATGCTCTGAGATACATCCAGGTCTTGTTTTGCTGGGCAGGTGGTTTTTAAGGTTGCCTATAAAATGATAGACTGGCTTTCAAGTAAGGAATAATTTGAAGGAAGTGAAGTGTTCTAGGATCTGGGTGAGTTGGGAAAGGGAAGATTGATGGAAGAAGGTCCTAGGTGTTTGATTTTGATTACTGCTGGTACCACTTACCTCTTTAGAAAGAGGGAGGATGTCTCAGCATGAAGCTTAGGAGAGATGCATTTTTATATATATTCTTCTGCCCTCACAGTGCTTTTGTTTCTCACATCCTGATCCCTTTTTATCCCTTTTCTCCTCACCAGGTCTTCCATGCAGTGCACAAAGGTGACACAGGTCGTTACTCCTGCATAGCAACAAATGATGCTGGCTTTGCCAAGTGTGAGGAGCAGGAGATGGAAGTCTGTGAGTGGCTATACCTACAATTTTCATCGATGCTGATTAATAGATCACCATAATAAACCTCCAAGAAGGAAGGGAGACATCCTAGAGTGTTAATCTTTCCTGCTTTCTCCTAGCCCCAAACACAGAAAGCAGAAAAAATGATCTAAAAACCATTAAAACGCTGTTCAGATCATGAAGAGATTGAGTCTTGGAATCAGGGACTCAACTAGTTGTTCCCTGTGAATTATTGGGGTTTGCTGAATGTGTTTGAGAAATGTCATTTTAGTGTGTGCAAAGCTAGAATGTTGCTGCTGCCTTACCTGAGTGATGGTTTCTCTCTTTGCCAGATGACCTCAATATTGGGGGGATAATTGGGGGAGTCCTGGTGGTCCTAGCAGTTCTGGTGCTCATCACTCTTGGGATCTGCTGTGCCTACAGAAAAGGATACTTTGCAAATGGCAAAGAGAATGGGGAAAGGTAAGCTGGGTGGGATTCCAGGTGTTCTTAGCCAAGTCCCTGCACACACACAGCTAGCATGAAGAGGGCTGAAAAGTGCCAGAAATTGGTGGCTGAAAGGTATTTCAATGCCTGACTGATATATTCCTTCCTAATTCACTACCAAAGTCTTCAGGCCAACCCAGTTTTCGAGGCATCCAATTCCCTGCTGTAAACCCTGCACCATTCAGGTTCACTGCTAGAATCATCACAGAATCACAGCTGGGGTTGGAAGACACCTTAAAGCTCATCTAGTCCCAACCTGCCATGGACATCTTCCCCTAATCCAAGTTGCTCAGAGCTCCATCCAACCTGGCCTGGAACACTTCCAGGGATGGATAGTGTTTACCTAAGGGAGGATTTTGTGCTTGCTGCCAAGACCAGAGAGAGGATGAAATCTGTGCTCTAATATCCTCACTCTGCCTGGGAAGAGAGAACCAGCACAGTTAAATGCCTACAGGTGTTTGTCCAATAGATCATGTGTTGTTGGCAGAATGAGGGCTACAATTACTGCACAATTAGTCTAAAGCATCAGGACATGCATAGGGAATATATGCAGAGCAGAGTAGGTTCCCTACAGGAAATCTCACTAGTTGTGAGAGCCTAAATTTGGGCTATGAAAAACAACCATTTCAGAGTGCACATTCAAATGTTATAAACAGCATTAGCATCAGACACAAGCCTTGATGTCCTTAGACAAGCTGCAGAAGACATAATAGATGTAACACCAAGATTCTCACCAGACAGATTTCCTCCATGCTAAATGTTGCTTTTCAGAACAAGTCTCTTTTTTTTTTCCCTTTGCCTCTTGGTTTGGTTTGTTTTTCAGGAAAAGCTGCAAATATCCCATTTAAATGCAGCTGAGTGTTGGCATCCACTGGACTTGACAGTCATGTATAAATCCTGAATTCCTGTGGGATTGCAAACAAGTGGAGCTTCCTTATAACTAAGAAAAATGCTGAAGGCATCTGGCAGTGAAGGATGAAAATGAACTTTCTAATTGCCACAGGAAATAGTGCAGGAGGCACACGGAGAGGGAGTGACAGGGAGCAGAGCAGGAGAGCCCAGAGAAGAATCAGTTAACCTCTCTGCAGAGTCTCGTGGAAACACACAAATCTTTGTACCCTGTGCTGAGGGGGAAGTAGGAAAAAAATCCCAGTCATGGCAAATGATGGAATAAACAGATCTCTCATTTGAGAAACAAACTGTGTTTCTCTCTGCTTGCTTTTCCCTTCAGCTGCTCCTCCTCATTTCCTTCTTTCCCAGCACCTCCCCTCCAAAATCCTGCAGTTTTCCTGTCCCAGAAATGAGATCTTTTTCCCTTGATTTCAGCTACAAGACTCCAGCAAAGCCTGATGGCGTCAACTATATCCGGACAGATGATGAGGTAAGGAGTGATTTGCATTGAACGTCTCTGTGTGGAGGGGAGGAAGAGGGTGGGCAGAGCACTCGCTTTTTTAGGGCCCACAGACTTTCTTGGAGTGGGATCTGCTCTGAGGCAAGGCTGGGGAACAGAGGGAAAACAGAAGGGTGAAGGCTGAGTCATTTCCTTAGAAATGATGAACAGTTTTTAAGTTGCCTGGAGTGACTGATGCCAGGAGCTATCAAAGGCAGCTCTGCTCTGAGTTCTCTCATGGCCTGACCCCCTTAGGATGAGTTTCATTGGATTAAGTGGGCAGGACATGATGCTTTTACGAGAGAATTTGCATTTTGGGATTTGAGTAGATCACTAGGCTTAAGAGCAGAAAAAGCCTCTCCCCTTAGCAAAGATCCTGGTGAGGGAATGAGAAAGTTCCCTGCCATGCCTTGGTGTGTGAGGAGGACAGGAGGAGGAGCATCTCACCAGTAGAACTGGTACCTCCCTCTCCTTCCCAGCTGAAGTGGGGGTTGCCTAGCCAAAATGCTCTTAATTACACAGCTTGGATCAACCTTTTGGGGGCAGCAGGAACAAAGAGTTGCTTGGAAAGCTGCTAGATCCTTCCTACCTCCCAAACTGTCTCGTTGCAGGGTGACTTCAGACACAAGTCTTCGTTTGTCATCTAAGATGCCAAAAAAGAGGATTGCAAACCAGCAAAAGTGTGAAAAATACCTCCTCCAGGAACTCAAAGCAAGAGCAAGAGATTCATTAAGTGCGCTTGGAAGAGTTTGGAACACACAAGGACCTGATAGCTAGCTATCTATATATCTTTTTTTTCTTTGCCAAAGTTTCAAGTAACTCCTCACTGCCCAACTCGCGTCTCCCCTGCCTCCGGAGATACCAACAGGGTCACCTAAACCTGTCCTTGGACTAAGGAAGCATTTTTAATACTTCCCAAGAGACTGGGCTGTGGAAGTTTGTGGAATTGCCTTCTATTTGTGCTGCAGGGACACAGCCACAATGTGCAAACCAACCAGGGGAACAGCATTAGGGAAACGTGTCGTAGGCATTACTAGCACGTGTTACTAGCAGACAAAAAAAAAAAAAAAAAAGGTGCTGATACAGCAGTAGATGGACTTCAAAAAGTGAGATTTATCCATGCAAGGTTTTTCTCCTAGCAGTTCATTGCCCAGGCCTGGCTGGTGACTTGGGACACATTTGTGATTGTTTTTGTGCTTGACTCTGACTGCTCAGGTGCAGAGAGCGACAGTAAACAGCACTAACGTTCTCAGCCCTTCTGTAAACTTGCTGAATTCTCCTTGTTTAACATGAGCATGGGCAGGAGAATTGCTTCTGCTTCCTAGAGAGCTCCCTGCACGCAGGTAACCCCTTGTTCTAATCTGCACAAAGCAGGTTTGTGCCTCCTGCGTCTTTCCGCTGCGAAAGAGGCTTAGGGTGGAGGCAGAGAACTAGTGCTAAGACATCCCTTTCAGGAAAATTAAAGCCAAATACTTTTTTTCCTGGGCTAAGATTGCCATAAAAGGTACTGAGATATCTTCCAGCTCTTTTTTTTTTTTCTTACCTTCTCCGTTTGTTTTGTAAAGATCCCACGTTGGAAATTTTTTGCAAAGATCTATTTTGATTACTTCAGAACAAAGGTAACATTTCTATTTAAAGTGTAAATACGTGATGCCAGCAGTGTTTAAGTAACTGAGCTATTTTTTTACTGTTGAAGCTGCAGAGAGGAGCTCCAACGTGGCTATAGGATGGCACTGTCAGAGCATATCAGTGTAACAAACAGCTGTGGGTGGAACAGCATCTCCTTCCTCTTAAACCAGCTTCAGCCATTTCCTTGTCACAAAAGGTCTTACCAGACACAGAACAGAGTCACTCAGGGATAGTTTTTGTAAATTTATGGCAGGAGCTGTCAACTTTTTTTATATAGAAAAACTTTTCTTGCCAGTGACCAACACTTTGTTTTTTTTTGTTGTTGCAAGAAACACCCAGGGATGGTTTTTGGATTCAGTTCCAACAAGGTGACAGAGTGACTTCAATGTTTGCTGCCCCTCTGCAAGTTCCCTAAAGCACTAACACAGTGTGACAGCTATGGCAACTTGACAGGTTTAAACTACATGGCCAACAAGGCCACTGGTTTTTGTTTTTTTGGAGGTGGGAAAGCAAAAGCTCAATACAAAAAGCACTTTTAGAGTGTCAGTTGAAACTTTTGTCTAGATGGTAAAAGGAAAAAGGAAAAAAAAAAGTAAAGAAAAGCTGGTTCTTTTGGCTTTAGAGAGAATAATTGGGAACATGTTTCCCAAGGAGAGTGTTGAACAGCATTGGGTGATACAAGATGTGGATGCAACACTAGAACTGTGCTGTGGTTTAAGAAGTTCTTTTTTTTTTAATGTAGCATAATTTAGTGTTCTTGTATTTCCAATACGAATGGAGTTGTCTTAAAACTTTTCCTGTATACAGTATTTTGGATACTTGACAATTTGGACTGTCAGTGTTATTTTGTTAGCAGTCTGCATTACTCTGCTTGGTTTCCTAGGGCCCTCGCTGGACATGCCATTGCTGCATTGGCTTTGCCTAAACAACAAAGCTTTACCACTTGTCCTTCTGCTAATGGAAGTGAAAATAAGGATGGGGCAGCAATAACCATATGTTCTCTGTGTAATTCAGATGTTGTTGCCACTGCTGTTTTGCAGCTATTCTGGTTACCTTCTTAAGCTCTTCAGCCAAGCCACCCAGTTGGGATTGCTGGGTTGCTTCTGGTCTTCCTGACATTCCTTTGCCCCCTCTGGATATCCACTGCTCCTTCTCCATGCTGCTTTAAGGATACCTGGGATAAGGGAGAGAGAGAGGAAAGGGTTGAGTCAGGGTCGCTCTGGGCATTAGGAGAGCACAATCTATAGTGTCACCACGAGCCAAAGGTGTGGGAAAACCAGCAAAGCTAAGACTCAAATTACTTCCGCAGTTCTAAAATGCACAGTGGCATCTCTAACGAGAGAGAAGGGGAGATGATTTCCCCCTCCCCTTCCCATACAGCTCCTGAGAGCTGCTGGATGGAATTCATTGTATCCTTGTGAATAACATTCAGGTTTGTACTAATGTATGACGTTTAACTCTGCCAAGAATGTTTTACATAAATACCAAGCTATAAAGCATTTTTGTAGGGGTTTTTGTTTGGGTTTGGTTGTGTCTTTTAAACAGCCATAGTACAGGAGGCTTCTGCTTTCAGTTCAGTGGAATAAGGGAAGGTCTCTTGTAAGAGTGCTCACTCGTACTGGGATGAAGGTGATGAAGTCCAAGGTGTGTTGCTGTTTGTCAGTTCATTCTTGGGGCATTTGCTCCTGGTTCTTCTCTAGGGAAGACAGATTAGTGCTGACAGGGCTCATCTCAAACACTGCTTGAGGAGAGAACAGAAATGAGAGAAGCACAAAACAGGAAATCATAGAACCATCTGGGTTGGAGGAGACATCTAAGATCATTGAGTCCAACCCTTAACCTCTCACTGCTGTAACCCCTAACACATATCCTACAGCACCAGATCCAGACACCTCTTAAACACCTCCAGGCATGGTGACTCCACCACCTCCCAGGGCAATATTCCAGTGCCTGAACACCACAAGAGGGAAAACATTTCTGCTAACATCCAATCTGACTCTGCCCTGGCTCAGCTCAAGCCCATTCCCTCTAGTCCTCTCCCTGCAGCCATGGCAGGAGAGACCACCCCATAAACTACCCCAATTTACCACTGAGTGGTTAAACAATAATTACAGGCAGAACAGGAGGTACAAAATAAATGGCTGTGGCCATAACTGACCATCCCTTAAGCCAAAGCCATTCCATACATCCTCTGTTCCCAGGTGTTGACTTTGATCTCAAGAATAAAGTTGAACTTCACTTGAATTTTTCTCTGATCTTCAGAAGAGAATAGGGAAAGTAAAGGCAAATGATGGGACTCCAGAGCAGGAGGTAAGTGCTTCTGGAAGGACTGTGGTTGCCACATGCTCAGCTCTTTGTTCCCACCTGTAGAGCAAAGCTGCTCCATGCCTGGGCTCTGTGTCTGAGTAATAAGCCAAACCAGCAGGAAGAAAACAGATTCCAGTTTCAAGTTCCAATGAAATCTAGGGCATGAGCTCTGGAATAGAAGTTAACAACAGCAAAACTTCAGTGAGGTTCATGTGGCATCAGGGGGACTCAGGAATGGGCAGATCCCAGCAATTACACAGCACATCGATGATAAACAAGTTACCTGCACGGAGCACAGAGCTATGACTTACCCAGTGCTCTGAGTCACTCATATCCTGCTTGTAGTCATATCACAGTCTCTATTGAAGAGCTGCTGGGGCCAAATTAATTGATCTGAGGGCCCAAGGTACCAATGATGTGGCAGAAGAGTCTTAGAGGCTGTGGAAAACTATAGAAAAAATAAATTCTCCATAGACATTATCATCTCTCCATAGAAAAAAAACCCCTTTTCTCCATACAAAAAAAAAAAAAAATCATTTCTGTCAGCTGAAGAAGAGGGGAGACGCCATCGTGGGTGGAATTAATTCTGTAACCATTTATTTTCATCAAATGCTAATAGTTGGCAATAACACAGTTGAAGAATGGAAATATTCCATATAAAAAGAGCATTTAAAAGCTGTTCATACACACAGGAGTTTGCACAACAAATAAGAGGTGATGTAGCGTGCAATTACCAGATTTGGGGGTGTGGCAGTGCCAAGCTGCTTTACCTTGGTGCAAATTAAAGCAACTCTATTGTATAACCAAGAGGGACAATGAGGGATCGAGTGAATAAGCCCAAACCACTCACTGCCCTCCAAGCTGTGATAAATGCATTTATTGCTAAGCTCGTGGCAACATTATGCCCTTACTTTTTCCAAATGGACAAATTATACATCCTGGGAGTGAAGAGCAAACCTCCTCTCTATCCTGCAGCTTTGGAGCACTCCAGGGAGCTTTGGCAAGAGCAGCAGTTTATAATCCAGACGTGTGTTCATACAAGCTTTGTCTGCCCATGGTCTGGGCAGTTCTGTGGAAAAGCCAAGTAAGAATAGATAAGGAGGGATGTGTATTCACAACACTTTATAATTCCAGAGGGAAGGGGTAGGTTTCAGGCATCAGGATGAGTCTGTACAAAGGTTTGGTGAAAGGCTCAGTTGTCCTGTTTCGGTCCACTTCTGCGCTGGGACCGGCGCAGAGGGATTTGTGGGCTGCTCCTTCTGGCTGGGGATTCCACCTTCCATTCCCGAGGCCTGGGTGGGCTAGAAGGAAAACAGGATGACCATTTATTTTCAAGCCCTTGGCCAGCCCCTTCTCACTGTCCACAAAGCCAACCATGCCCTGGGCTGCATCCACAGTAGTGTGGGCAGCAGGTTGAGGGAGGTGATTCTCCCCCTCTACTCTGCTCTGGTGAGGCTCCACCTGGAGTACTACACACAGCTCTGGTGTCCCCAACAGCAGAAGGACATGGAACTGTTGGAGCAAGTCCAGAGGAGACCACGAAGTTGCTAAGAGGACTAGAGCATCTCCCCTGTGAGGACAGGCTGAGGGAGTTGGGGCTGTTCAGCCTGGAGAAGAGAAGGTCACAACCTCAGAGCAACCTGCCAGGATCTAAAGGGGCCCCAGGGAAGCTGCAGAGGGACTTTGGTTAGGAACTGCAGTGACAGGACAAGGAGGAATGGAGATATACTGAAAGAGGAGAAATTTAGATGTTAGGAAGAAGCTTACACCAGTCACCTCCCTTATGTCTCCTTGGTCACCAACTTGTGCACAAACCCTGTCAGTGTTCCAAGCCAGGTTGGCTAAAGCCTTCAGCAACCTGCTCTGGTGGGAGGTGTCCCTGCCCAGGGCAGGGGGTTGGGGCTGGATGACCTCTAAGCTCCATCCCAACCCCTTAACATACTATGAAACTGATTTCTGTTTCAGACCCATGTTGAACTTACAGTGCCTCTGGCAATGTCAAGCAAATAACATCTCTTGTCTCATCCTCATCCTTTTTCTTCTCTACAAATAATACATATATTTTAATATTTTACAAAATGCCAAAGATTTGATCCTTTGGGGTGGGTTTTTCCCTCCCCCTCAGAGATAACTTGCCTGCAGTTGAACTGGCTGTGCACGTCGAGTCGATGCAACTGACCCCAGCATCAAAAGTCAAGTCATTAATGGTCTCTGGAACAAAAAAAAAAAAAAAAAAAAGCACATATTAGCAGTCAGCTTGTGACACAGCCAGAGGGCAAAGCATGCTGCAGGAGAATACTTCAGTGTCACAGAGAAGTACATCCAGTTAATTGCAAACACACATATAGATCTCTTTTTCCCAGCCCAGCAGACCTCAGTGTCTCCCATCCAGCCTCAGAATTCCAGCTTCACATTCCAATCTCACAGCCTCCCTGTGTGGAGGAAATTGTGGAGGAAATAGGGGATCTCAGTTATGTGCCTCCTTGTCCTCCCTTGGAGGGAGAGCCACAGCTCCTACTGAAGCTTTGCCATCTCTGACAGCAACATGTTAGACACAGTTTGCTCTGCCAAGTCAGGGCAGAATTTGAGGCCCCTGAAAACTGCCAAAGGACCTGAACAACCATTCCATGAGGAGCTGCAGACAAGAGGAGTCACTTGACAATGGAGCTAGGTAGAATTTAGCTTGCCTGAATAGGCCCTAGTTGTCAGCTGTCTCTTTCCTGTCATTTATCTCCAGAGAGATGTCACAATATTCAGATTTTACTTAACTCGATGCTCTGTTTTATGCTCGTGTTTCCCAGAACCTTTCACAAGGAATTAAGGTAGGAAGTGCTTTATAGGGCAAGAGTTGGAAACTCAGCTAAAGGGACTTCTCTCTACAGCCTAAATGGGTTTGCACTTTAACCACTGCTCTGTCCTGGCAGGGAATTACTGAAGCTTGTGGTGGAAATCCACCTTGATCCATCTGCCTTAGGTGGCCTCTGCATGTGTCAGGAGTGACCTGCAAGTGCCCTGACTGTGCAGTGTGTGCCTCAGCAAGGAAGGAAGGACAGGGAAAGGGGGGAGAGAAATAGGAAAGAA